ACGTGCCGTTTAGGCGGTTCGTTTAACTATTATACGTGATGTACGTTGGTTTTTTTTAAGGGGGGGCGGTGATGAAAGTGTTCCAAAAGGCGATATTAATTTCTTGACGACGTAATATAATGACAATTCTTCTCGTTTACAGTAGATCGTTAATAACATAAGCTTTTGTCAAGTAATACCAGCTGCCTCTTCATTTTCAAAAGAGAAATCAAACATTTACTTATTTTGTAAAAAGGGATTAAGTTCGATCATATTAACAAATAAATTACTAATTGTAATCCAACATGCTAAAATTTAAGGAATTACCAGACTCATATTTACTTAAGGATATAATGCTTGTAATAAAATTTGTCGTTGCTTAAATTTATTCAACTCAATATGTGGAAATTGTTATTAAGATTGCTCTGTTTAAGGTAAAGTTGTTAGACTTAAATTTTATAAAATAAATACAAATATCGCAATGACTTTTAAATCTAGTCTAACATATGACTACCTTCGAAATATTAATACGATCGTCGTGTTAAATGTTTCATTTTAGGGTTTATTTTACACAGTTTGTTAACGTAATTGATTTTGAAAACTTCATTATATGCATTGTACAACAGATTAAAATCTGGTATATGGCATAACAATATTATGTCATATAGCTCTGATCATAGTCATACTTTATCATAGAGCTAACTTTATATATATCACAGTGCTATAATATAAGCCTGTGGATATCGTACTATGTAATAGAACTATAAACTTTATAGTATTTAATTTAACTACATATATCAACATATTATATTCTATAAGTATCATTATCAGTTCTGACTTGAAATAGAGGGCCAATGGAACAAATGTGGGAACCAGGATGACAATGAAAGGATCCCAATTCGTATGGATAAAGAAGCTACATAAACACCTGAAAACGTATCTCCTTATACATGCCTGTTTTATGCCACAAGTACAAACTTTTATAAACAGAAAGATCTGGAAAGATATCGCGATTTTTTTTTATTTTTTTTTTATTTTTTTGTATATAACAGAAATACCATTTGAGATTTTGGTATAATAAATAGCACTTAGGCTATGATTAAGGTAATAATTAGCACTTAGGCTACGATTAAGGACTGGAGAAGTCAAAGGGATATTTTGAAGTAGCAAACTAATTTGGTCTCCCACTTGGTACTGGAACATTTTTAAAACATGCTACAAATATTCATGATAGTTTAAAACACATAGGCTATAAAAAGTTTGTAAATCAGATTTTTTATTTTATTTTATATTTAACGAGGAATATTATAGTATTCTAGCACGTTTATTTAATGTGTTCAACCATTCACTACAGTCATCCTGTTTTAATGCTAACCTTCTTGAATTGTCAGTTGAATTGAATCTAATTCTCTTTCTTATAATTTAGTCAGTAAATGAAGATGAACAATCAGGGAAGAGCTTAGACTAATTATATTTTCTCTTTGTTAACCCTCGTGAACAATATCTCGTTTTTACTATGTCCATTATATTAATCACTAAGGGTTTAAGTTTACCCCCAACACATACCTACACAAAACAAAAACAGAATTGGCTCTTTGGAACTGAAAAATTAACTAGTTAAGAAATTCATGTTCCACAAGTCATTGCAGAAAATTAACGTAACTAAGAAAAATCATTTAAACGTCGAAAAAACATAAAGTAACTTAGAAGTTTACATAATCATAAATCGAAGAAGTTTTTTTACTTATGTTAATCACCACAGAAATATCGGATAATAAATAAACTTAGTATGTTTAATCACAGAAATACGTTCAAGTAACATTTCAACTTGTTTAAAGTGATCTGAGACTTAACCAATTTGTAAAGTGATTTGAGACATAGTCAACTTGTTGTAAAGTGATCTGAGACATAGTCAACTTGTTATAAAGTGATCTGAGACATAACCAACTTGTTGTAAAGTGATCTGAGGCATAATCAACTTTTTGTAAAGTGACTTGTGAGATAGCGAGCTTGTTTTACACTAATTTGTGAAGTAGCTTGTTGTAAGCTGATTTGTGATATAATTGTTGTAAACCGATATGTAAAATAGTTTGCTGTAAAATAATTTGTGATATAATTGTTGTAAACCGATATGTAAAATAGTTTGCTGTAAAATGATTTGTGAAGTAATTTGTTGTATACTTATCTGTGACATAGTTAACTTGTTTTAAACTTATGTGTAACATAGTTAACTTGTTGTAAACTTATCTGTGACATAGTAAAGTTAGTAAACTTATCTGTAACATAGTCAACTTGTTGTAAACTTATCTGTGACATAGTCAACTTGTTGTAAACTTATCTGTGACATAATCAACTTGTTGTAAACTTATCTGTAACATAGTCAACTTGTTGTAAACTTATCTGTGACATAGTCAACTTGTTGTAAACTTATCTGTGACATAGTCAACTTGTTGTAAACGTATCTGTGACATAGTCAACTTGTTGTAAACTTATCTGTGACATAGTCAACTTGTTGTAAACGTATCTGTGACATAGTCAACTTGTTGTAAACGTATCTGTGACATAGTCAACTTGTTGTAAACTTATCTGTGACATAGTCAACTTGTTGTAAACTGATATAGTTTATATTTAGTCGAAAGAGAAATTCTTACCTTTGTTCAGCTCTAGTTTGTTTTTAATTCTACCTTATCAGCGGACCTCGCCCATTCACATCCTTACAGTGTTTTAGAATGTTTATAATAAGCACGGAAACCACTCATATTCTATATTTTGAAATTGATATTCTATTGTCGCTGATAGTTGAATTGCGATATATACATACAAAACAGGAAATTACAGAAAAACTCTGCTGTTCCAATATATTTAAGCAATATATTAAACTTAAAGCATCTCAATATGTACAAACCTGAGAGACTTTTGTGCATTAAAAGGTACACCTGAATCATCTAAGTATTACGTAATGTATTATTCCCGTCTTCTCTTTGATTTTATTCTTACGAAACTTCGTTTGATATTTATATCGATTGGACATACAGAGTATATATTTTTAAACCTTCAGGAACTGATGATATCCAAAGCTATTGCCAGCACTATCTTTTACAGACATGTAGCCAGGTCTATTGTGTACTATTTGTTGTAAGTTTCTCAAATTTTACTAGTTTTTCATTAGTGCAATGCGAGGCTCTGTAGTTTGTGCTTTCTGTAATTGATATAAAAATAATTCTACCAACATCGCTACGGTTACGAGATCCGTAGCTATTGGTCTAGGCGAACGTACAATTTAAAAGCATCAACAGAGCACTCGGTTCATACCTACTGACGTAACTGTAGCTCTTAAAGCCTTAGTCGCCAGCTTTATTACATCCGTCCGCGCACTCGGGTGCGCGCGAATAAAATCAGGCGACATATCGATTTGAAGACTTTCCTCCATAGGATGGTTCAGGAGATAGACAAGCCGTGGAGTGTGAGAGTGACACATGGGTACATTCCCCCACACCTGAGTACAGGATTCTCTTATCTCCCTGGTACTTCCAATTAGACAGCTGTCAAGAATACAAGAATCAAAGTATGGTAAGGTACGAGCGTTCTTATTTCCATTATTTATATAAAATAAAAGAGTTAGTTATTTTGCAGTTGTCTGTTACAGTTCTATAGTTGTATAACACAGCAGTAGGTTATCAATGATTGTTATTGTATCATACCAGTTAGGCTTTATAATATTATCATATTTATAATATTATATTCAATTAGAGAAAGTAATGAGATGCATGTTTTTGTTTGTTTTTAACGTTAATTTTATTTATTTTTTTTTGCTCATCTGAAGCAACAGTGCTTAAGTTTGTCCGTAACAAAAGTTCGATCCTCTGCCTTCTTTATCGCTTACTCTTATTTCGATTATTTGATCGTAAATTTAATAATTTTCTTCAATTTAAGAAGGCACTGATGATTTCAAAACTCACCAAATCATTATGATTGGTTTTTTCTCAATACGCTCGTCCACTCGCCTGTATGCACATCTATAGTGACTTCGTCGATTGTAGTAATAGCATTTTACTTAGTCACGAATCAATACGAGAAACTAATCAATAATGTATTTAATAACCCTAACCTGTAATATCATCAAGTTCGAGAATTATATCCAGAATCAGAAAACTTTCATTCGTATTCTTTTTATTACTTATAGATATTTATTACTTGTTTTCATCAGGTGTGAAAATCAATCTCTGAATCATTCTATCTAAACCTTTCACGACAGTTGTTTTGGAGATGACTTCAGGTGTCTGAGATGGCAAAAAGAGTAGAAATACTGAATAAAATCAAAGACAATTGTTGAAGATATGAGCACTGATCCTATGTAACTGTATATGTGTGTGTTTGAGGGGGAGAGAGAGATGTAAACGAAAACAGAAACAGGTATACGTAATTAAACCAAAGACAATTGTTGAAGATATGAGCACTGATCCTATGTAACTGTATATGTGTGTGTTTGAGGGGGAGAGAGAGATGTAAACGAAAACAGAAACAGGTATAAGTAATTAAACCAAAGACAATTGTTGAAGATATGAGCACTGATCCTATGTAACTGTATATGTGTGTGTTTGAGGGGGAGAGAGAGGTGTAAACGAAAACAGAAACAGATATACGTAATGTCTACAACCTCATATTAAAACTGAAGCAGTAACGGAAGAAGAAAACATACATAAGCTACAAGCTTAACCTTTTTTGATGCGATAAAGCTGTCTCATACAAAAAAACAACAACAATTAAATAAAACAAAATCCTCGCATGTACTTCTTTGGGTGTACTTATTCGTCGAAAACATGTATTTGTTCTTCCAGTCATTCTATTTACAAAAGCTACGCCAAATTTAATTTTTTCGTATTATGGATTAATGTTAAACAATAAAACTTGCGCTAAAATTTGAATATACATCATGGCTGATTTAAACGTATAACATGTAGCTTAGTGTTTGTTTAGCATAAGCTTGTGGTAAAAAATGCCACACGTTTTATTAGAAACTTTAAAGTGTTGTGAACCTCAATTTATACATAAGTATATTAGCCGCTTGTGTTGCATCCATACATTACATAGAGAGCTGAACTTCTAATACAAGTGTAAAAATATTTAAAAAAAATGAAAGTGTAGTAATGGGATCACCAAAAAGTGAGGAAACAATAATAGGAATGAACATAGTGTAACAAAACTTGCTCTGTACAACCTAATAAGGGGGCGTGTCCAACATCTGGTCCATGCCTATTTCGTATATTTTTTCTATCCTGTATACAATAAGCCAGGTTGACTAAACTTATCAAACTTAGTTATGCTTATCATACAATTACTAGATGTTTCTGTTAATCGAATTATTGAAGGCAAACATGTAAAGTCTGTTTATACAACACCAGAAGAATCAGATATTCATGTGGACCCATAACTTGTATGTTGTATTTATTCTTTACAACTTGTCCTTCCTTTTGTAATTGCATGAGAAGACAACAGGATTTCATACATTAGCTATATAGGTGGATTAAAATATAAGGATAAAAAATCCTAAGAGATTTCTCTATATCGACGTCTTGGATTCGTTACTGTCTATACAAAAGTATAAGAATCATAGACGCACTTTTATTACACCATGCCCATTCCTACCTTATTTCCTCACTTTTGGGTGTATCCATTCCTACACTTTCAGTTTTTTAAATATTTCTTCTACTTATGCATGCATGTTTTTTTTTCATACAAGGTGACATGATCTTATGCATCATTCATTTATTTGTGTTGATATCCCGTATCTATATCATTAGTGTGGATGTACACCGTAATATTATGGTGCGTGTGTGTGGTGTGCATTTTCTTCAATTATGATGTGTGTACACATTGTGAATGTGTATGTGGGCCTTAAATGTCATGGCACACACTATAGTGTGCAATGTCATTTGGGTGATGTAGTGTGAGTTATGGTTGTTTGCATATACTAAGAGTTGATAAATTAGTTAATTAATTTAACTAACTACTTCACGTTAGCACTAACACGTGTTCCTTGTGCTATTGTTCTATTTGGTGCACTTATTACTATAGTAAGTCTGTTTGTTATACAACTTGAATCATTCAAGAATGTCAGTCAGTCGGTAAGTAAAATATTTGTGGTTTTATGATTTTTTTGTATCTGCTCTGCTGACTTTCTCAAGTGGTTTTATAACTTCTACTTTTGTATGTGGTTTGCTCATCACCTAAGAGTGTCTCTCAAATACTTTTGAATATTTATTATTTGGTTGTTAAAGGTGTATATGAATAAATAATTTGTATTGTATATATTGTATATCTGCCCCATTCCTTACTTGTGATACGATATATTAGGCTACGGAATAGTGTTCCTGTTTGTTTAAGAACAAAGCTGCACAATAGGATATTATTCCTTAATCTTTGCTGAGCCAACGGAAGAATTACAGAAAAGACAAAAAATATTTATTTTTTGCATGCATGTTTTTTTTGTCTCTGGGGCATACAATTTACTAACACAAAGCCTTACGCGAGAAATGTTAACATACTCTTCACGTAAACCACAGATGTTTGATACATATACCAAATATTTTGTATTAAGCATCTCATATAACGTTTTATAAGTTTGACATATAGTAACCTCGATAGAAGAGACGTTAGGCTTGTTACTCGACTACGAGTGAAAATTATAGGCATCAAATCAATGAAATCATTGTAAAAATGACCATTTACTTGTATCAAAGATATATTTTAGACTTGATGAAAGGCTTTTGTCTCGATCACTATAATCATCTACTTTTGAAGCCAGTATAGGGCTGTTGCTCCATACTTTGACACAGTTCATCTTTTCTTTTCTTAAAGAATGAAGATTGCTCGAAATGATAGCGTAACATATTTCTAAGCCTGATGAAAAACCGTTGTCTGAAACATGATGAAAATCCATTGTCCGGAACTTGACGAAAAATCGATGTCTAAAACATTCTAATACTCTATTTCTGAAACGAATGATATACTGTTGCACGAAAGGTTTTCATAAACTCTTCTTTCTCTTTTTCTTCCTTTTTGTTTTGATCTATTCGAATAATTATTGCTTCTCAAAATACTTCCACAATGTATCTTTATACTTAATGAAACATATTTTTCTAAAATGTTTTTATATTTTTCTGCCAGTACTCGAGAGAAGGATATTCTAAGAGACGCTGTAAAAATGTTTATGACGAACCACTGTATGGAAGGTAACAGTAGTCTTTCTCTATATATACCAATGAAGGACTGTTTCCCGAAATGCTTTTGTAAACTAATTCGTTCTTTGTTCGAAATGTTGCATTATCCATGCTTCTAATCAAAATGAAACAACCAAAGTTAGTCTGTATACCAGATACGTTGGCGTATCTCTATAAATTATCATGAATTTCTTGTTCAAAAGACTGTCAGAATTATATTTCCATTCCGAATAAATGAGATATTTTTTAAATGTTCTCACTACTGGATTTTTATCTTCGACTAGAAACTACCTTTTTAAAAACATTGTCTCTATGAAATAAGCCAACGCCGATTTTATAATTTGTCGTTTTTATTGTGTTTCTGTTTTCAGGTTATCTTGTTTTGAATGTCATATTTATCTCCTCTATTACAACTTGATAGCAAGTGCTGAAAACATTGCGGTTTTAAACTTTCGTGGTTCACTGTGAACATCTTGCGAGAACCACCTAAGATATGTGTGATTGTTCAAGACTTTTGAACTTAAACAAACTTGGCAGCTATACTTTTATACCTATATTCAAATATATTCCATTACATACACACATATATACATATGGTAATATTCATGTAAAGCCATATATATGTATATTAGTTATTTCATACAAGCCTACAAGTATGCAAACAGTTGTTCACACACACACACGCACACATACATGTATATATATTATGCATACTGCTCTTCTTCCTTTGTTTTTTTTAATCTGTAATGGAGTTTAACAGGATCAGTACCTGGATGTTTGCTTGTTGTTTAAGGCAATATGATGAGTTATTGAGTGATTTGGCAACATCAGTCAGTACCCGGATGTTTGTTATTAGCTACCATTCTGCTTGACATTGTCAACAGTTTGGCAGTGGCCACTAAAGACATAAAAACCTTAGTTTCCAGATGCAATTTTTGTGTTCACTCTGAACGATTAGTACCTAAATGAACACCTTCTTGTCACGAACTGCTAACACAATAGATTATGAAATGAACATGTTAGGGGTTATAGTGAAAAATGAGTTGACGAATATTTACAAGTAACCTTTTTATTTTGGCTGTATTGGAATATTACACTCGAGGAGGTATTACGTAAGTGCTAAAAGTATATTTGGTTTATTTCACTAGACAGTTAATGTTTCGACATTTCTAAGTATCATTTGAGATAATATCAAAAACAAATCTCGTCGGAAACTAACTTATTTGATAAATAAATAAAAAGTTTTAAGCAATGGAAATATCAAAGTATTAATAAAAAGATAGATATAAAGACGTACGAAATGGTTTCAATAAAAATGAAGCTCAGATTTCATCTCCCATCCTTCCGAGA